AGGGCTGTTGTACATAGGGTCGCTATGAGTCGCAGGAGACTCGACGGCACATAACAACAACAACAACAACAACATAGCATTGGTCTGGCAATTTGTTGCACAAAGGCAACTAATGGTTGCTGTGAGGGTAAACAATATGTCAAATGTGATAATCATTACCTATGTTGGACAGTGTTTGGTGGAGTTCCCGAACTAAAACAGGCTTGGAAGCAGGAGTGGCATCCACTTTTGAAATAGCTTGCTTCTGGAAACTCTATGAACTTAGAGGAAAGATGAAAGTTTTTCATGTTCAAGACTTTTGTTCATAGGGTAACTATGAGTCATCTATGACTTGACAGCACTTTAACAACAAGAAGTCATGTTGAAGAGAAATAAAATTAAAGTAAGTCTACAAGAATCAAAATAAGACCTTGATTATATCCCACCTAAATTTGGAGACCATCTTAAAAGTAGATTTGGTGTATTGCATACTAATGACCAAAGGCAAGTTGTAGAATGATGTCAAGGACATCATACATGAAGAAAGTAAAAGTCATTAAATATACAAGAAAGAAACAAAAGGCTAAAATAGATTTCAGAAGAGACTCCAAAATTTTCTCTAGAGCATAGGAAAGCTATAATGAATGAAAGAAACAAATAAGACAACTGAATAGAAGATTTTAAAAGGCAAAGTTAGAAGACAAAATAAAACATTATCATTAAATGTAAAATGACCTTGAGTTAGAAGATTAAAAAAGAAAAAAACCACGTTCAACATTCCTCAGGCTGAGTGAACTGAAGAAAAAAATTCAAGCTTGTTTGTAATATTGAAGGGTTCTATAGGCAAAAATACTGAGAGACACAGGAACCATCAAAGAAAATAGAAAGAATATGCAGGGTCACTGCATCAAGAAGAATTGGCTGATACTCAACAGTTTCAGAGGGAAACATATGGTAATAAACAAATGATACTGAAATATGAAGGCTGTGCTGCACTGAAGGCATTGACACAAACAAGACTCCATGAACTGATGGAATGTCAGTTAAAGTGTTTCAAAAGTTGAATGCCTCAACTAACATGCTCAGTTAACTACATCAAGAAATTTGGGAGATAGCTCCCTGTAAGAGATTCAAACATATCCATTTCAATGAAAGGTCTTCCAATCAAATTTGGAAATTTAGACCAATATTATGAATATCATTTGTTATTACTGTTAAATGCTTTCAAACTGGTCTAACTCATAGTGGTTCTATGTACAACAGAACACAAACCTAGCAGATCCTGTACCACCCTCATAATCTCTGCTATACTTAACCCATGAGCAAGTTTTTACTTTTTACTTTGACTTTGGCAAGTACAATCTTGTTGAAGATAATTCAACAATGGCTAGAGCAGTGTATCAACAGAGAACTTCTAAAAATGCAAGCTGGATTCTGGAAAGGATGAAGAATAAGGGGTATCATTGTTGACATCAGATAAATCTTGGCTGAAAGCAGAGAATAGCAAAAAAGTATTTATTTGTGTCTTATTGACTCTATAAAGGTATTTGACTGGAATTATAGATAGCATTGCAAAGAATGAGAATTTCAGAACACCTAATGTGCTCATGTGGCATCCATACATAGAGCAAGAATCTGTCATTCCAACAGAACAAGACGACCCCTCATGGTTTAAAAACAGGAAAGCTGTACCCCTAACCATTGTATTCTCCAACTGCATTCCTTCTCATTTACATCTAATTTGCACATTGAACAAATACTCTGAGAATATGGTTATGTGTAGAAGAACACAGAATCAGAAATATAATCCATATAGATAACACTATTATCTTGCACTATATGATGAAAACTTAAAGCACAAACAAATGAAGATTAAATACTATGGCCTTCAGGACATATTACAGCTCAACAACAGAAAAAGCAAAAATCCTCATAACTGGATCAACAAGCAATACATGGAGAAAACATTGAAGTTGTCAGAGATTTCATTTTAATTGGATTCACAATCTTCAGTGAAGCAGTAGTCAATAAAGTAAGCAATGTATTGCATGGGGCAAATATGCTGTCAAGTACAGCTTTATAGAGCTGAAAGCAAGGATATCACTTTAAGGACTAAGGTATGCCTGACCCAAGCCATGATAAAAACATCGGTGGTTTAATAGTAAGGTGTTTCATTGCCAACCCAAAGGCATGCAGTCTGAATCCACCTGCTTCTCTATAGAGGATAGGCAGCTTCCATCTGTCTGATTTACTGTCACTGCAGAGCCTCTGGAGAGTCAGCTTTAAGTTGGTTGTGACTCTACAGTACATAGCAACAATCTCAGATATGTATTTGATGCCTTTGAACTGTGCTATTGGTAAATAATATTGAATATACCAGGTCTGACAAAAGAATAAACATATCTATCTTGGAAAAAAAAGTGCTACTAGAATGTACCTTTGGAGCCTTGGTGGCCTAGTAGTAAGGAGCTGTGCTGCAAACCTGAAGACATGAGGTTCAAATCCACCAGCTGCTCTGTAGGAGAAAGAGGGGTAATCTCTCTCCTTCCTTGCAACTTTCTGTCTCTGAAAATCCCTGGAGGGTCAACTATAGGTCTGTTCCAACTTGACGGCTCATAATAACAAGAAGAATGCACGCTAGAAGCAAGGATGGTTAGACTTTGTCTCACATACTTTGGGCCTGTAATTAGGAGGGGCAAGTCTCTGGAAAAAGGCATTGCATTTGGTAAAGTAGTTGTTATGTGCCATTGAGTAAGAACCTACCCATACCTAACCTTTCAGTGGGTTTTCAGAGGCAGTAAATTGCACAAGAGGAGATTGCCCATCCTTCTTCCATTGAGCGGCTTGGTGAATTCAAACTGTGTGCATTTGGGTTGCCAGCACAGCTCTTTAACCCATTAGACCAGCACAGTAGAGGTTCAACAAGAAGAAGAAGATCCTGAAGGAGATGAACTGACACCGTGATTAAGCACAGCCGTGACTGTGACGATGACACAGGATTGGGCAGCATTTTCATTCTGCTGTATTTGGAGACGTTATAAGTTGGAGTCAGCTCCACAGCACCCACCACTGAAAGTATTAAATAGTGAAGGGAACTTCCAGTCAACGCTAGAATTTAAATTATAATACCTATGTACTGCCCTGTCTCTGTCCTTGGACTCCCTACCTTGCTGACTGATGGTCTCATAGCTGGCCGAGTATGACCTAGATTCCTCATACAGATGCCAAATCCTCTGGAGCCTTCTCTATGTCATCCTTGGATTTATCTTTGGTGTTAGCCCTGGATCAGAATACCCTGTGTGGCACAGGTAGCCATCTCCCACTTCTCTGTAGGGTTATGTAGGCAAGAAGGCCCTGCCCCTACACTGACCAGATGGAGACTCTAACTCCTTTTCTGATACTCACACAAGCAATCTCCTTCTGAGATGAACAAATGAACATCCTCCTGCCTTTTGACTTTCAGCTCTCACATGTGCTCCTTACCAAAGTCATCTCCTGATTTTCTGTTTAAATACCACGGAATTTGCAGTCTGTCACCTAGATTCAGATGCAGCTTTATAGCTTAACAGATCACTATACACAGTAAGTTCCTTAAACTCCCTGAACCTCAGTTTCTTCACTTTTAAAATGGGTCTAATAATTAAAAACCCTCATAATATTACTGTTATGAATGAAATTATTCTCAGTAAAAAAAATAAAACCCTTAACAAAGCTCAGAAGGAAAGAAAGAAGGATGAATGAAAATGGGGAGCCTAGGGAAGCAGTGGGAATGACAGAAGTTATAGCCAATACCACAAAACAAAATGTCTACAAATTTGTTGAATGGAAAACTTATTTCCTCAGTAAATTTTCACTCAAACAACAATTTAAAAATAAATTTTAAAAATTATTTATCCATTAACTGGATAAATGGATGGTACATTGATAATTCTGACCATCAAATGGTCAAAAATATACCTCTGTAAACTTGTCTAATTATTCCAGAAAGGAAGCAGCCTGGGGTTAAGCCTGGACACTGACAATTCCAGAGTTGTTAGTCCACGTGTTATCTGCTTGACTCTGTTTTGCAGAAGTAACATGGAGCCATCTGGGGACTGGGGCTTGAGTTTGAACCTTCATCAAAAAGTCCTGGTTTGTGCTGTCTCCTCCCACCCTCTCACCTCTCAAGGTCAGATCGCTCTGTCCCTGTGGTGCCAAGGAGGCAGGAGGAGGGACAAGATAAGGTCTCTCAAGAGGATGACGTTCCTTGAGAAAGAGTCTGCTAAAGAGCAAGGGAAAATTAGGAAGGTGCCATCTTGATCTGAGAAGCCGAATTATCTGCAGAATCACTTACCACCCACAGTCCATTAGAAAAATTAAGGTCTAAATGACTCAAACTCCCCCTTCATCCCTGGAGTTGGACTTGAATTAGAAGGTAGGAGTTTCTTGATCACATATCATACTGGGAAAGACCCCTTAATTTACTATAATTAACAGGGGAGTTGGGATTCATGGTTTTGTCTCCCTCATACACTCAGTATTAAACTCTGCCTTCAGAAAGACATTCTGGGGCTGTCCCGGCCCTGTCTTCTTTCTAGTGCTCACAGACAGTTCCCACAACTTTCATTGTCTTTGGCTACGTGTGTCCTGCAATGGTTACCATTAGGACCAGGCTTCCTCCAGTGCCTAGGTAGTGCTGTACTCATAGCAAGAGTGGACCCTGGTGGGCCCCAGGGCAGAGAAACTGAACCAGGACTAGACCTAAAGGCCCTTTGACAATGACTCTCAGGTATGTGCAAGCTCACCTTGGTCTGGTATAAGGTCTCAGCCTCGGCCTTGCTCTTCAGGGCAATCTCCTCATACTGGGCACGAACCTCAGCAATGATGCTGTCCAGGTCCAGGTTGCGGTTGTTGTCCATGGACAGAATGACGGATGTGTCACTGATATGGGACTGGATCTGAGCAATTTCCTGCAAGGTCGGGGAGCAGGGGAACCAAACCAAGAAATCATTAATTGCTATTTGCTGCCAGAGGAAAATGCTAAGCTCATGGTCCTGCAGGATGCCGCCCAGACCATCCCAAATAGATGCAAGCTGCATTCCTCCAAGTTTGTAAAAAATCGTGTTCGACAGACCAAATGTTTCAAGATCACATCCAAACTTGTCTAGGTTTTAGGAACACATAAAGAGAGCAGCTTGTCTGTCTGTAATCTGATAGAGGTCCTATGTGGGGAAAGGGGGCAGGTGAAGGAGGAACAGCATAGACATCACACAAGTGTTACAGAGACCCATGAATGCTTGATAGATGAATTGAGGCTGACAACCTGATGGACACTGAGGAGCTGGAACAGTTCTCCACCCCTGGAGATTCCTGTTCAAGAATCTGGGAAACATGCCAAGCAATCAGAAGACAGGCAAGAAAAAGAACATGCCTGACTATTGGTAAGAACCCTAAAAGGATTCATGGCTTCCTGAAAGACTTAAGAGCATGACATTGGAAACCTGGCCAACATTAAGGGATGTATTGTTTTAGGGGTCCAGGAGAGATGTCTATTCCTTCTTTGATCAATAAAATTCCTGGTATCCAAAGGCTGGAGATCTCCTGTGCTTGTAAAGTTATTTTGCTGAGCCAATAACCACTCATTCACATCTGGGTTCTTCCAGAGACAATGAGGATGGGGTGAAAAAACCTTACCCCTTCATACAGGCACTTGAAGAACTTGATTTCTCCATCAAGGGTGTCCACTTTGGCCTGCAGTTCCACCTTGTTCATGTAAGCAGCATCAACATCCTGTGGAGAATCCCAAGACCCTTGGATAGTTCCCTTATGCAAGCCCAGACAGGCGTCTCCCACCAACTGACACCCCAGTTCCCATCCTGTGGCTAGTTGCTTCATGGTATAGAGTTGAGATCTAGGGACTGGTACTTGGATTTGCCCAGAACTCTCTGTGAGACCTCAAGCCTGTCCATTATTTTTCTAAAACAGCTTCTGCCTTTCAAATATCAGAATCTTTTTTATTGCTTTCTTTTTCTTATCCCCCCCCCCCCCAGGAAGCATTGAGCGGTCATTGAGCAGTCAAAGTTAACTAATGACTGTTGTTGTTGTTGTTGTGTTGGTGGTGGTGGTGGTGTTAGGTGCTGACTCATAGCAAGCCCATGAACAATGGATCTGAACCTTGCCCTATCCTGTACCATCCTCGGCCTCTGCAATTTGCCAGGCAAAGAGGAGTTGGAAGATTGGCTTGTGACTCTTTCCAAAGCATGTCTGTTCCCTCAGCCAGACCTGGGAATTTTACTATCCACCCCGAGCTTATTTTCTATGATAGATCCCAGATGAATACCAAAGTATCTCAAGATGGCCCCAGCAACAAATCCCTGCATCTCCTCCCACCACTTCAGCCCTAGGTGTTTCTGTTGAGGAGTTGTCCCTCCTCTCTGGTGCCACCTCACCCCATCTTTCACATGACACTCCCGGGTGGCTAACAGATGTGTCTGCCCTCCTCACCTTTTTGAGCACTACAAATTCATTTTCAGCTGTTGTCCGCTTGTTTATTTCCTCCTCATACCTGCAGAAAAATTCACACAAGTGAACAGGGTACGTGTGTGTTCTCATTGTGAAGGGAAAAAGAGAAACCCGTATTGTGTATCTTTTATACTCTGCATATATTATTTTATACCTTTGCAAATATGTCTCAGCTTGGTCTGTTTAGTCAGAGGGATGACTCAATGGTCTGGGATCTGAATTCCCTCTGATGTCCAGGGATTGTAAGTAGGTTCTTCCTCCTCCTATTCAGTATTCAAATTACAAAGACATGTCCGCTTCCGCTGCCCCTTTCAGTCATGATTCTTGGGTCAGGCCACAGCTAACATCCTTTATCAGTAACTCGACCCTGTTTTTATGCATGAGTCCTAAGGAAGAAGGAATTGTCCCCCTAGACAGGAAAAAAGGGGCAAGACCCAACTGTCCAATGGAAATTCATGCCCTGATGGCAGAGTCTCCTTAATACTCAAGGGCCTAATGTGCAAGCTGAGGAGAGACTGTGGGGAACACACACTGAGACTCTGTTGAGTGGAAAATGGGAAGGAGTGTGCCAAGAAAAGGCACATCTTCTGGGACAACATTGCCATGGTCTGAGGGGCTGCCTGTCCCTTGTGTGTCCTAGTGGCCTCATTCCAGGACAGAAGAGGTCGGGATGAATCACTCCTGCCTGATCTTAGTCCCCTTGAGGCCAGTGGTAAACACCCCAGTGTCTCTTCAGCAAGCGTGGCCCAAGGCAGCAGGTCTCACCTCTTCTTGTAGTCTTCCACCACTTCCCTCATGTTCCTCAGCTCTGCATCCAGCCTCACCCTGTCCGCAGACAGCGTCTCCAGCTTCTTTTTCAGGTTGCCAATATGGCGTTCAAGGATGGGCTCCAGGTTGTTCTTGCAGTTGTTCAGTTCTAGCTGCTGAAGGAGCTCCCACTTGGTCTCCAGAACCTGGTTCTGCTGCTCCAGGAACCGAACCTGGAGACCAAAACGATGGACACTTGGAACCAACCCACAGGTGCTCAAAAATGAAAGGAGGTAAGGTGGGGTTTGTTTTTTGTGGAAGGTACTTGTGGTTTGCTACAATTACACTAGTTTAAGTAGGTAACCTCAGTCCCTAAGAAGAGTCAAGCCACTTATACCCCTCCTCATCTGAGTCCTTTTTACCTGGAACTGTAAGACAGGTTCTTTTCCTAGGAGCAGCCCTTAAAAGAAGAAGAGACCCTGATATCTTCATTCCTCCCCACCCGCCATGATCAAGTCAGGATAGGTCACCTCCATACTTATTAAAGCCTGACTGAATAATTTTCTGTGTTCATCCTTCACATCCGGACTCCCTCTGCTCAGATCTGGTCACCTAGCCTTGTACTCTGTCACTCTCTATCCCTTTGGTCATGGTCTATCCTAGCCAGCTGGAGGGTGGGTGCTCTGTTGTTCTTGGGTGTCAAGCCGTCCTTGTTACTTTCATGTCTAAACCAATACAATTGAATCAAAACAATTCTCTAGAGAGAATAAATACTCTCAAGTTGCATTCTCAAATATCATATTATTTCCTTGTTTAACACCATCTAGTAACTCAGATTATCTATAAAATTAAGTCTGAACTCTCTACTGTTTCCTTCACTGTGTGCACAGTTCCTCCTCCTCTTCCTGCATCCATCCAACTTTTAGGCAACCAACGAAGTATCCCCATCCTATGGAAAAATCCAGTAATACAACAAGATTGCAAAATTCCTGCTCCTCTATTTAGATTGCCTACATCCCAGTATTTAGGGAGCTGCCTGCTGACTTAGTGGTAAGGAATTACACTATCAAACCAAAGGTATGTGGTTCAGATCCACCAGCTGCTCTGTGGAAGAAAGATGGCCAATCTCTTCTTGTACAATTTATAAGCCACTGAAAATCTTCTGGAGGGTCAGCTATGAGTAGGTTCCGACTTGAAGGTAAACAACAATGCCTCTGTCTGACTAATCCCTACTCTTGATTCCACGTTCTACCTATCCATCACCTGCTAAGCTTTCCATTCTCCTCTAAACTCATGAAGTCTCTACTTTAAAGATCTTCCTTAACTCCTTTGTTCCTTCAGTGGTCCTAAAATTTGAGCATAAAACTAGTCATCATCTTCCTTGCATCCTAGGCTGAGTGTATTATAGGTTATGAATCTGACTCCTGGTTGAAGTGTGACCTTTCTATGGCAGGGGCTGAATTTCATGCCGTTCAAGTCATTCAAGGCCTGAAAACATGCTATGGGCTCTTTTAGTGGCATTTAAGTTTTACAGGTGGTCCTTGTTCCACTTTTCACCCCTAAGCTATTTTTTCCTGCCTCCTGGAAACCTTCCCAGATCAAGCTCTCCTCACCCCTCTAGTTCCCCACCCTTCTGCACAGGTGGCCTGAGTTTAGCCCCACTCCTCCCTTCTCTGCCCTTGGCTGTGTCTGCAAGCTAGAGAGGTATGCTGCTTTCCTCTGCTTCAAAGGAGAGGAATATGGAGGGGGGGGAGAGGGGGCTCTCTAGACACAGATTTTCTCCGGAAAGCCTCACCTTGTCGATGAAGGAGGCAAACTTGTTGTTCAGGGCCTTGATCTGCTCCCGCTCCTGAGCACGCACTTTCTGGATCTCGGGGTCCAGCTCCACGTTGAGGGGGGCCAAGAGGCTCTTGTTGACTGTGACCTGGTGGATGCCTCCAGGAGGGCACATGGTTGAGCCCATGGGTCCCAAGCCTACACTGCTAAACATGCTTCCTGCAAAGCCACTGACTCGACCCTGGCCAAATCCATAGCTTCCTGTCCGCCCACTGCCACTGGTCATGTTGAGGGAGATGCTTCGAGTACCCCCCAGGTTGTAGAGGCTCCGACTGCCAAAGCTCCCACTAAGCCCTTTGCCACCTGCCCAGTAAGAAGACGCGCTTCCCCCAGAGAGGACAGCTGAGTAGCCACTGAAACCTCCCTTTGTTGCAGCTCCAGACTTGCAGGTGAATTGGCGGTTCATATTAAGATGGTCAGAGAACTGGAATAAGATGTTTAGCCTTGGCTGAGATGCAATTCACCACACTGAGGTCTCAGGCTCCCCCTTTATAAGGCTTGGGAGATTACCATGGTCCTAATTTGTAGGTTCTGTTTGCCTGGGAGCAAAAAATTATTTCCCCCATCAAAATCCAAGACACTAGGTAAATTACTTGAAAACTCAGAAAGTGCTAAGCTTGCAATCCTCGCTGGTGTAATTTGGGTCTTATCTAATTATCAGCTGTTCCTGGGGTAATAAGCCTGACCAAATTATCTCTAAAAAGATCTTGACTTGGAGGTTTATCAAAGCCTCAATTGCTCTTCCACAGAGAGTGTTGGAGGCAAGTATTGCAGGGGTGCAGGGGTAGACCTTTAATTGACTGCATCATCTGTGTAAGATCTCATGATAGTGCTGCCATCAGATGGGCTCCTGCAGGGATCCTGGCTGGGCTGCTTTTATGTGGTTAGGAGGATGTTCCCATGGCTTTGCTTCCCAGGGATCCAGAAGACAGATCACAGACTGTCCCAAAGCATGGACATGAGTCCACTCGGAACCCAGCCAGCCTCCAGGGACCTGCCCACAAGGGCAAACCTCAGTTCCTCTGTGCTGCCCTGCTCTTCTCTACCCGCTCTCAATGAAATGTTTGTTTCTGGTCCTCCTTCTGCCCCTACCCTTTGCTCGACATAACAACCCTTAACACCACTCGTGATGGCTGACATTGGGGCAGCTTTTTTACATTCAAAGAGTTTCTTGGACCTAGAAACTCATTTAATCCACTTGTCATGCCTAGGGATGATCTGTGCTGCTCCATCAGATAGTTGATGATGTCACTTATTTGTTGTTGTTGTTATCAACCATTGAGTCGCCTGCAACTTATAGCGACCTTATGTACATTATTAGTCTTGAACTCTGCTCTATCCTAAGCCAATCTCATTGCCTCAAACAGACCTAATCTCATTGCTCTAGTCACTGATTCAATCCATCTCATCCTGGGTCTTCCTTTCCTGTGCTGTCCCTCCACCCTTCCAAGCATAATGTCCCTCTCCAAGGACTGGTCCTTCCTGGCCATGTGCCCTAAGTATGAGACACAGAGCATCAAAATCCCTGCTTCTGGGGAGCATCCTGGTTTCACCTTCTCCAGAACAGAGCTGTTTGTTCTCCTGGCAGTCATGGTATGTTCAACATTTTTCTCCAGCATTTAATCTCAAAGGCATTGATCCTTCTATCATTCTTAACTATTGTCCAGCTCTCTGATGGATAGCAAGTAATTGCAAAGGCCATTGCCTGGATCAAGTGCACCTTAGTCTTTAGACTGACATCATTGCTCTTCAGTCACTCATTTAGCAAACATGAAATGAGCCCTTTAAAGCTAATCCTAGAGAATAAAAACTCATTGCCATAGAGTCAGAACCAACTCACAGCTGACCCTCCAGTGCATTTTCAGAGGCTATACATAACATAGGAGGAGATTGCCCATCTTCCTCCCTGGAGCTGCTAGTTGAGTTTGAACCCTCAGAGAGATGTCACCATTAGGTTAGCAGTGTAGTCCCCTCCGAACTAGGTCATCAGACTCCCCTTTCCCAGAGGATTCACATGGCAAAAGAAATCCCCAAAAGCCACAGAACCCAGACTTAAAGAATCCCTAACTTAGTCTTCTGACACCGCATTCACTGATATGAAGAAATTTTGAGGCCTTGTTTGTACATTTTTTGTGACTATCCATCCATGTATATACTTATTCATTGTCTATTCATTCTACAAGCTCAAGTTGAGAACTCATTCTGTCCCAGTACTATGCTGGTATTTGGCTTCATAAACAAGATAGTAATCCAACTCATAATTGTAGAAATGGGGGTAGGGAGAACAGACATTGTTTTCATTAGACCATCAACATTCTCAAATGATGTGTGCCAAGTGTCTCACAACTTTTAAACCCCAGATATACCTATTGTATGGTATCCCCTCCACCACTCCTCTTTAGGTTTGTCATTCTAGTGAGTTGTGTGGTGAAACGATGCTGGAAGCTATGGCACCTGTATTTCAAATACAAATAGAGTGACCTATGGCAGACAGATGTCAACAAGGCTTCCACATTAAGACAGACTAGAAAGGAGGACTTCTGAAAAATAACAACTAACAAAATTCTTAAGAACAGCAACAATTAATTGACTGATATAATGCTGGAAGGTGAACCCTGCAGGAGGTGGGAAGGCACTCAAAATACAGCTAAAGGAGGAAATGCTTCCTCAAAGCAGAGCCAGTCTTAATGGCATGAATGGAGTAAAGCTCTTAAGACCTTCATTGCTGATGTGGCATGATTCAAAATGAGGAGAAACAGCTATAACACTCAGTGATTGCAACACAGAATGTACAAAGCATAAATGCACAAAAAATTGAAAGTTATAAAAAAATGAAACAGAATACATAAAGATCTATATTCTAGGCATTGGTGGGCAGAAATGGACTGATAGTAGCCATTTTCTATTGAACAACCACATTGTTTACTATACCAGCAATGATAAGGTGAGAAGGAAATGCATCATAGTCAATGGTGAAAAGAATATTACAAGATCCACCCTGATCAACAATGCTATCAGTGATATGGTAATGTCTAGACACATACAAGAAACTTCAGTTAATATGAAATATGACTATTACATACACCAACCACAAATTCTAAAGAAGTTTAAGCATTTTACCCACTTCTGCTAGGAAAATGGTCAGTCAAGATGTATTAATAATTATTTGTAACTGGAATGTGAAAGTTGGAAACAAAGAAGAAATTCAAGCTACACTGAAGGCACTAACAAAAAATAAAGCCCCAGAAATCAATGGAATACTAGTCGACATGTTTCAACTAACAGATGCAGCCGTGGATGTGCTCATCAGCCTATCCTGGGAAATCTGGAAGACAGCTGTTTGGCTGCCTGACTGGAAAAGATCCATGTTTGTTCCCATTTCCAAGAAAAGTGATCCAACTGGATGTGGAAATTATCAAATTACATCATTAATATCACACGCAAGCAAAATATTGCCGAAGATGACCCAAAAATAGCTAGAACAGTACATTGACAGCGAACTGCCAGAAGTTCAAGCTGGCTTAAACTTTAACTGGCATCAGAGACTTTTATTACTGATGTCAGATGAATCCAGGCTGAAAGCAGAGAATTCCAGAAAAATGTCTATTTGTATTTTATTTACTATGTAAAGACATTTGACTGTGTGGATCACAACAAATCATGGCTAATACCAGAGAGAATGGGATCCCAGAACACTTATTTATGTTCATACTTACATACCTATACTTATACCAAGAGGTTGTTATGTAAACAGAGCAGAGAACAGTGCATGGTTTAAAATTAAGAAAGATGTGTGTCAAGGCTATATCCTTTCTCCATGCCTATTCAATCTCTATGCTGAGAAAATAATTCAAGAAGTTGGTCTCTATGAAGAAGAAAGTGGTATCAGGATCAGAGGAAAATGCATCAACAACCTTCATTATGCAGATAGCACACCTTGCTTAATTGAAAGTAAGGACAACTTGAAATGCTTCCTGCTGAAGATCAAAGATTAGATAGTCTTCAATATTGATTATATCTCAGCATCAAGAGAACAGAAATTCTCACCACTGGACTGATAGGCAGCATCATGATAGATGGAGAAAGACTGAAATTAGTAATTTCATCTTACTAGGATCAGAGACCTCTCCAAGGTACTGAGGAGCAATGATGTCAGTATGGAAACTAAGGTGTACCTGATACAGGCCATGGTCTTTGCCATTACTTGCTATGCTTCAGCAAGCTAGACAGTGACTAGGGATGATAGAAGGAGAGTTGATGCCTTTGAACTTTGGTGCTTGCTGGAGAAGAGTGTTAAATATACCATTGACTGCTAGGAGAATAATTTCATCCTGGAGAAGGTGAAGCAAGGCTGCTCCTTAGAGGCAAGGATTCTGAAGCTTTGTCTGACATATTCTGGACATGTTACAAGGAGGAACCAGTCCTTGGAGAGTGACTATCATGCCTGGGAGGGTGGAGGGACAGCGCAGGAGAGGAAGACTCTCAGTGAGATGGATTAATTCCCTCACTGGGGTAATGGGGATAGGTGTGTCAGAGACAGTGAGATTGGCAAGGGATAGCGCAGGGTTTAGGGCTGTTGTATATAGGGTCGCTATGAGTCACAAACTACTCGACAGCATGTAACAGCAATAACAACCAGCAATCAGGAAATCAGGACACTTATTGCACTGAGAAAGTCTGTGCTCAGGGAGTTCTCCAAGTTGTTGAAGAACAATAATGTCAATTTGAAGACTAAGGGAATGTCTGATTCAGACCATGGTCTTTACAATCACTTGCTATGCATCTGAGAGCTAGACAATGAATAAGTACGACAGAAGAAGAATGGATCTCTTTGAGTTATTAGAGAAGAGTACTGAATATACCATGGACTGTCAAAAGAACAAAAAGATATATATGCCTTGCAGAAAGTACAGTCAGAGTACTCCTTGGAGGCAAGGATGGTGAAAATTCATCTCACATACTTTAGGCCTGTTGCTGGGAGAGGCTATTCCTTGGAAAGGTAAAGGGTTGGCAAAAGAGAGGAAAACCCTCAACCAGACAGACTGACACAATGACATCAGTAATGAATTCAAGTATGTAAAAAATGATGAGGATGGTACAGGATTCAGATCTGTTTTTTATATGGTCATTATGGGTCAGACTTAACTTTTTCCCCCCCTTGTGTACCATCAAATCAGATCCAACTGGCACAGGAGGAGATTGCCCCTCTTTCTCCAATAAAGCATCTGGTGGATTCGAACTGCACGCCTTCAAGATTGCAGGACAATTTCTTGCCTCTAGGCTACCAGAGCTCTCTGAGTCAGGTTTAACTTGATGGCACCTAACAACAACAACATAGAAATGAGACCAGGCTGACATGATAGAATTTGTCTAATTATTAAAAATACTTTTTAAAAAATACATAAATGATAACTATACGTGTAAGTTCTCT